TTACGGTACAAAAACAACGTCCCGCTTTTCGACAAATCGTGCACAAATCGCTGCACATACGGGAAGCTTGTCAGAAATAGAAACAGTAACGGAATGACTAAGGAAGGCCGTTTTTCGCAGTTATTTGCTAGCCCATGAACAAAAGATAGATATCGACCGGTAGGGGACATTCAAACTGAAGCTAAAGGTCAATATTATTTGGAAGGAAGTTAACGAGAATGAATAAAGGCCACAGGAGAACCGAGTCATTCAATATTTGTTTGTCGGATTGAACGGTTTTGTGCTAAGAGCGACCCGAAGAAGGCCAATCATAAGCACTCAGATTACGGTATTGATTGATTGATTGAGTGATTGCATTCGGTAGAAATAAACTAGGCAAATCAAGTGTAGGTCATAAATTCCGGTTTTGGCAAATAGCCAGATTCGCCATTACCTCATATACAGTTGTGTGGTGGGTGGGGTATGAGTCCAGTCGCACTAATCCTCGCTCTATCGAGGTCGACCTTTATTCGACGACGAGACAGTTAGAGAAAAGGACGAGTCCTTTAAACATGTGATATCACCTGGTCCAACATCGTAAAACTCGTACAAGAGACATCCCGGAACGACGGACGGACGGACGCGGACACGGTCAAAGGAGATTGATTACAAAGGGGGAGGGGGTGGAGTTATCTGGTCAATGAACGTTAGTGCGGTACATGAATGGGACTGGGCAAGATCGCATTATATGCACCAGCAATTAATGAGCTCAAATAAACCTAGATTTACTGAAGATAATAAATCTTTCCAACGAAGTACAGCCTTTCATGGGAGGTTGTCGGACAAAAGGTTATATATGTGACCAATGAGACAAGCAAAACAGCAAATTCCAAACGATGGCATGACATTTTTGGGGGAAAAACGGTATGCAGCCATTACGGTGATTTGACAAGCTGTGCAGGGTCATCCCATAAAACAGCCATCCACGTAAATTCCCTTCAAAATCCATCCAGAACACTCTGACGGGAAGTCAACGGGAACCCGCAACATCCACGGGAGGAGCTGATCAGGAAGTTTTTTGACCTAATCGATCGATAATTTCATAAAATGTATAGGATCGCTGACGGCAAAAAAGCGATAATAAATAAATTGAAAAAAATCGCAAAATAAATTCTTACAAGCCTTATTTAGATTTGATTGTTTTCCATAAAATGAACCGTTGCGATTGCTAGCCCATCAGGGAGAAGACATAAAATCAGGGAATGAAAAGAATCAATGGAATGAATGGCCAGGAAAAGACCTTCCAAATAGGTCACTTTAAATGAATCAATAAATCTTCAACAATAGACAGCCACTCCACCACCACCACTACCATCACATACGGAATAAACCCAGATTCAGTGAGGATAATAAATCACCGTCGATAGAGGGGGGTAGTGGTGCCGCTTGACACCGGCTGGTCTGGCCGGCCGTCTTCGGCTACCCCTCCGATCACCACACCGACCGCATCGCCGGCCGCGTACTACATTCAGACAATGATGGTGGGCAATGCAAAATCATATTCATATCAACATAAAAAAAACCAAATGGAAAAATTTTCAGAAAAAAATCAGTTGGTAACCTTTTAGAAGATTGCGGATTACTGTAGGTTTGGGCCCCTTCTGAAATCTTAAATAGGAGTTTTAGATAACAAAATAAGATCAAACTTTTTAGTGCTGATTTGA